CAGTCCAGGCCTCCTCCAGCACGCCCCACGCCCACTCTGCTCCCTCTGTGAACACGTTCACAGTCAGACTAAACAACATCTAGCAGCTCTTCTTTTTTCTTTCACCAAGTCACAAGGTCCCAGACGGCAGGGGCTCTACTCTAAAGTACTCAATGTGTTATAGAGAAATCAAAAATGTGAGGACTAAGTTTTTCACAAATTAAACAAGTTCTGGTTCACCTTTTCATTGATGTTCGTCTAGTGGTTGGCCTTTAATTCACAGCGATTCCTGACACTGACGTCCACGCTTTCAGACTTACTGACCTGAAACCACCGCTACCTGCACTAGCACGGTGTCCTACCTACAGTAAGGGACCCTGCAGGGAACCTGCATAGTAAAAACACACTTTGTGACATGAGCACCATCCCGGAACCTGAGGTTTGGATCGTAGTATTCACCGTTTCCTTAAACTAAGTACACCTCTCAGGCCGGGCCGCAAATACGTGCTGAGGCACACAGGTTCTGTTGCTTATGCACGGAACTATCTTGTGTATTACGAATTAAAGACTGCAGCTTGTCAACAGCTGTCTACACAAGAACCCACGTATAAAGAACAGGGTACAAGGTTTACTAGGACGTGAAACGTCAAACACAGCACGGCCAGAACAATGACTCTCCACCTAGAGTCCACTCTACCTCCCGAGGAGCCTGACGATGCCTCACGTGGTCCAGCCCGACCAGGTTTCGGTGGTGAGGGTGTATGTGTGCGTGTTGTGTGTGTCTATTTTCATAGGCTTTACAATATTTAATTTATAAGCAATAAAATTCACAATTTTAAAGACATAATTCTATGAGTTTTGACAAATGTAGTCCTTTAACCACATGATATAGAGCGTTTTTGTATCACCCAGAAAATTCTCTCCTGACCCTGTAGCCACCCCACTCCCACCTGGCCTCCCACAGCCGCCGAGCCGCTCTCTGCGCGACAGCCTGGTCGTCCCCGGGGTTTTACATGGACGGACTGGCTCTGTGCATGTTCCCCTGTGCCTGGTCCTGCTCTTGGCATGAGCAAGCTCTGGGGATCGGTCAGTTCGAGTTTATTGTTATTTCGTTCCTTTAGATGACTAATATTTCTTTGTGTGGATGTGTGTATTGGTGAGATTTTGGGCTGTTTCAAGGTTAGTGTGGAGCTTTCGTTTCTCTTGGGTAAACACTTGACAGCAGAGCTGAGCTTCATGGTAAGTACACGTTTACCACCGTAAAGTAGCTGCAACACTGATTTCCCACGTGGCTGCCCCGTTCTGCTTTCCTGCTAGCACCGTACGATCCCACTGGCCTCACACGACGCGCACTGGCAGTGGCAGCGTGTCTAGAAATTCCAGCCAGCCTGGCAGTGATTACATGTAACTGCAGTGTGATCTGCACTTTTCTAATAGACGATAAGGCACTTCCCTCAGAAAATGACGAGATCGTTTCCCATGTAAATAATGACTTGTGTGCTCATTTGCCACCAGTGGGTCTCCTTAGATGATGTACCTGTCAAACTCGGTCGCCCATTTCTTAATCGGGCTCTGTTTTCTCATTACTGAGCTGCTGAAGTTTCCAATACGGTCTAGAGATGGACGTTTTCTCCCAGAGGCCCACGCGCTTGCTGGGGGGCTCTCCCAACCCCGCACCGCCCCCACCACGTCCCTCCCACCCTGCCTGGCCCGGCTTGCCTCTTCACATCACGCTTAGGTTTCCAACTGCCTTTTGACAGTTTTCTCTATTCTTCCTCAAAATCATCCTGAACATCAGCACCATTACGCTGTACGTGACCTCCTCATCCTCATGACCTGAGAGTGAAGTACCTGAGCTGCCCCCTCCCCCACCGCCTCCATCCCAGGCCCTCCCTCCTACGGCCCTGCCCAGCGGAACTCCCGCTGTCTCTCCCGTGCACACTGTCGTCCCTCTACCCACCTACACACCACCCATGAGCAGGGTGCGCCGTCCGCCTGTGTCTGCCCCACCCCGATCCCAGAGGGGCTTAGTGGCTGGCAACACCGTTCACACCCTCACCGAGATGCGCCTCTTCTGAACATGCAGCTACACCGTCTACACTGCTCACTGGGCAATTCCATTGCATTGTGATGTGACATAAACCTTATTGGCACGTTGGGGCACCTGGCAAATAGGGTCAGACCTCGTGGCTGAGCCCACTGCATCCAACGTGGAACTCTTAGGTGCCCAGTAAATGCCTGTTGGTTGAAACAATACTCGCTCCCAGCTATAACCCCACTAGAAAGTTCACTAGGTCTGGGTGATGGTTAGGAAGTTACTAAGCACAAAATTAAACACCTGACCTTTCTCATAGATCAGCTGCTTGTCTTTCGGGGAGAGAGAACCGACCATTTGCTTTAGCTTTTCTGCTTCCATTTGTGCTTGTTTCTCATGATACTTGTCATCTGGTTTCATCGACAAAGTCAGCTTATGCTGGTTATCCTGCAAAGACCACAGCAACAAAAAACACCAAGTTAAAACAAGGTTTTCTTAAAGCTGAACGTGCTGACCCAGCCTCTGCTGGTGTGTCTTGGTCCTGTTCTTCTATTTACCCACTTTTAAAATAATGTTGGGAACAGAACTCATCTCAAGAATTGTTTTGCAGATGAAAGTATTAATACATAAGCCAAATAAAATCCTTACAACCATACGTATGTATGTACCATACCTATTAAGTATGTAATTTTATATGCTGTTATTATCAGAATTATCATTATTATGATCACTACATCTCAACCACAAATGTTTCAACAGTCAACATTTTCATTACACCTTGAGTGTAAGAAGGTTTGTACTTTTAAATACTATAAATCTTTGATTTCAGTCTAAATTGAAGATAACATGGACTTCTAACTTAATTTTTATATGGTGTTCATTATACTATTAATTTCTGAAGGGCTGGAACTAAATTTTCTATTCAATACTTTGTAAATTATTAGCACTAAACAAATTGGCTTTATATAGAAATAAATGATAGGTGATTTAATCTGCTTCTCTTATTTATTTCAATAATCAAAAACACACACATACAAAACGCTCACTTGTAATACTATAAAGAGAGGTGAGAGAATTGGAATACAACAGAAATTTTATGTAAAATAACTTACAACTTAGAGAAAATGTAGGTCAAATGTCCAAAATAGACAACAATCTCACCTACCACAGTAAAGCCTTTTAAAAAGTTCTACCATATTAAAGAGTATCGAGGAAGGAACATACAACCAAACACAAATGCCTAGAAATCTAGGAAAACCAATGGGCAAACACTGAAGGAATTCAATAACAAAAATAATCAGAGTATCCGTTACATGTAGGCGACTGTTCTCAGAGTTTACGTTATTCTTCTACTAACAAAATGTTAACAGAAAAGTATATGTTTTGTTCATATATTCATATATAAAAATGCACACATATAATCACACAAAAACCAACTACCAACTTGCATTAGAATCTAAAGAGAATTTAAGTCAATGTAAGCATTTAAATTTTTAATTAGAAAATAAGAAATTATGTCGCCCATCTATTAACAGAAATTGACTTACGTACATAGATTACATTGCTAACATTTTTGCATCATTATAAAATTCAACTCCAAAGTTACAGAAATTCTCCAACTTCCTTACCTTAAAATACTGCTTTACTTTTTCTTGCAGAAATTTGGGATTGTCCTTCAGGCACTGCCTGAATTTAACCAAGAAACCTCCCAACTGCAGGAGCTCCACGGGGTCTCCGTCGTGATTCCAGCAGGAGGCTATGTACTGGGACGAGAGGTTTTACGTTCGCGCTACCGCACCACACGCACTGTGTATCACCCCAGCAAACACCCATGTTTTATTAAGATCCTAGCTCTACATTTAAAAACACCACAGATTGATTATAACAAAAATTAAGTCATTCATTGGTTGGAGAAAAAAACCCAAACTCATCAAAACCCTATTTTGTTCTAACAAAATAAAAAAAAGCACAGGTTTTAATTACTTTTAGAAATTATTACTGCCAACAAATTACCAGTTATCATAAATCCCTACCCATTTAAAATATACTGTGTAAATCTGCTTCACAAAAAATATCAAAAAGCCAATTAAGTTATTAATAGTAAAAAACCAAAAAATATATTATAAAAAAAAGTAAATTTATATGTGATCCAAAACAATGTAACTTTCAAGGTCTGAATGAAAAGCACCATCGGTATCAATCTATATTTTCGGTGCTGTCAAGAACCACTAACTACAGGTCAGAAAGCCCAAACCAAAGCAGAACCTAGCGGCGGAGGAAGCACATACTGATGTGAGGGTAAGCCCAAAGCTGGTGGACTGATGCTTCATTTGTATTTCCAGTTTGTGAAGTAAAGCTTCAATCCGATCATCTTCAAATCCTTTCCTGTAGAACACAATTAAGACTAAGACACTGAAAAGAAATAAAAGTTTTAGAAAAAGAAGACAGCAAAGATAATTAAACAACTAAATATGAACGAATATGCATTTTATCCCACAGAGCATGGGCCAATAAGGAACGAGAGCGGGCCAGGCTTACTCAATGACTTCGTCCACCGTTCTGTCTACGAGCGTCCTGACGGTCTCAGTGTCTTGCTCCGCAATGCCCTGGAGGCCGACACTGAAGTAGGCCTCCCTGGTGTAGCCGTTATATCTAGAATTCAAAAACGGAGATGACGCGCTAGAACCCGTGCACCCTCATCACCACCTGTCATGCGCTGCATTTAAAGATCAGGACGAAGAACCTTGAACTCCGGACCCTCCACGCGCAGCCCAGTAAAGCAGTGTTCTCAGACATAACTGGTCATGTGTGCACTGTGTCCCCTTAACATTTCTAAAAATCAATACAATTCAAACACTTGAGTCTTAGCAAACAAACCTAAAAACAGAAAACTGTTCAGTTTTACAACATCTTAAGATTTCCAAGAATACTTAATGACCTAACTTTTAAAACAAGCAACCGTATGACATTCCAAGAACTTGGAAAAGCTGCCTTTCTTTTCAGGTATTTGGTTTTTTGGCCAAATGTCCTTTCAGGGACCACAGATAGCTGGTGCTGGAACCCTCACACTGTCCAGAGCTCCCTGCTGGGGGCCGGGCCATCCTGTGGGCCGTGGGACCTTCGGCAGCACCCTCAGCCTCCACCCTACAGTGACAACAACCCAAATGCCCAGACATCCTCGCCCAGTGTCGGGATGCGGGCAGCAAGATCATCCCTAACCGCGAACCCCTGATCTCGTCTAGTAACGGAACTCACCCAACGTCAGGAGAAAAGTCTGTGCCAAGCCCAGATTCGATCAAGGCTTTGTAGAAGGGGGAATTGGGCCCAGCAATCAAGAGTGAAGACAGGAGACTCAACGTGAAGGCCTCGAACGTGTCAGTGATACTTCGTCGGAACAGGAGGAGAGAGGAGAGGAACAAAAGGGAAAATGGTTGGCCCTTATAAATGTTTTTAAAGTCACTTAAAATCACCATTAAATTAACACTTTTATTTCCAAACAAGCTGAGTTCTGCTAAAAAGTCTTGCATTTCGACATTTATTTTAATAATCATATGGGCAAAACAGAATTTTTTTATATACTGGGTTTTTTTGGGTCCCAAAATAAATTTCACTGCATATCGGATGCTTGTCACCGATAGCATACCACGTGCTTTCACAGATACTACTTCAGTGGCAGCGACAACATCAACCCCATAAAGGAGACAAGAAACCGGGAGGAGGTGGGTGATGCCACCAAGCCGCAGACCACGCTGGCAGGGTGCAGAGCGGCGGCCTTCCTTTCCTGAACATCCTTGCGGGCACGTTCTGACCTGGACTCACGAAATCCCTAGAACCACACGGTTTGGCATGTGGTACATTTTTCCAAGGCGAGTGTTCATACGTAGTATTATTCTCACACTCAAAGGGACCCATGACCTGAAAACAGTTAATGATTGCTGTTCTAAAGCACTCATTCTTGTCTCTACAGGAAGGAAGCTTTAAAATGCAACCAGGAAGTAAATCGCTTCTTTTCCCGATGGCTACTGAACACGAGCTTCCCCCAGAGCCATTTCAGGTCATTAAAAACCCTGACATTTTGTTGTCTACTCTCAAAACCTGCTTGACTCCTGAATCCTAACTGTACACTAATTTATAGTCGATTGCAGAATTCTCCTACTAACCTTCTAATCTGGGTATTTCCCCACTGGTTTTCAGCCCACGTGAGCTTTAACCACATACACTTACTCTGGTAAGAGGAAGCTAACGCTGACCGTCGTCTGCTTAAAGGGATCGGTAGCAAACGAGTCCGGGCCACACGTTATCTGGAATTCCCTCTGCAAAGGACATGATGCCGTAAGCAGGCACAGTGTCTGGGTGGTTTTCAACCACCACAGGTTATCTGCATTTACAAAATGGTCCGACACATGCTTTTCATTAAGCTAACTTTCTTTTAAAGCAAATAACCATCCTTCAGGCTGAAACGCTCTCATGTACTCCGTACAGCCCACAGCAGCATTTCGAAACCCCATCACCAACACACACACAAGCACAGTAGCAGGCATGACGGAGACACAGCAGGCACTCACGGGCTTCTCCCACGGCTTCTGAGCGGGCACCGAGGTACTTGGTTCAATTTTCTGAAACTTGTTCAGTGCTTCCTCATGAATTTGTTTCAGATGCTGTTCTAACGGAAAATTACCGTAAGTGAAGAACCTAAAATTGAGGGAACACGTTAGTGTACTTTGGTTTAAAAGATTAGCAATCAATAGTGATGGCTTTTTGCATGAAATGGATGAACACAGCACACAGGGATCCCCCCTTATCTGAGGTTTCACTTTCCAAAGTTTCAGCTCCCCCTGGTTACCGAGGTCTGAAAATGTTACAGTTTTGAGAGAGAAAGAGGCTATATTCACATAACCTTTATTACCATATATTGTTATAACTGTTCTACTTTTTTATTACCGTTGTTAATCTCTTACTGTGCCCAGTTTATAAATCGCACGTTATGGGAGGTATGCACGTGTACGTGACGTAGTGTATGTAGGATTTAGCACTATCCGTGGTCTGGGCGTGCACTGGGCGTCTCGGAACGTACCCCCACAGGTAAGGGAGTGGGGCTGGGCAGCAGCTGACACAAGCCAGTCTCCGTGTGAGGTGAACTTTACACAGGAATGCATTTTGTTTTCACTCAGTTTCACTAAAAACACCAAACAAAAGCTTTTGCCCTTTTAACAGGATAGGTGGCGTCAAACAAAACACAAACTGTGCAGAAGGAATTAATTAAATGCAAATCCAGCAAAAATGGATCTTTTATTTTGAATCCACTACAATGGCATTAAACACCAAACGAGTTACTTGTTAAAACTCTTTATGACCCCAGCTACAGTATTACTATACTCCAAATGACCAAGTTTTTCACAAAAGTCAATTTTAGGCTACAGATTTTAGGTTACACACGTTTTAAGCTAACGGTTATTCAACCAGAGGAAAAGTTACAATGACAGAGTTGATCTTTCTCTAACTGCGCCGTATGGTTAAGATTCAGGGAAAAAATTTTGCACTCAAGGGCTCAGACACAAGCTTTGCGCTCTGGGCTCAGACGATCCAGTGGTGATCAGCGCCGCAACGTCCGCATGCCGGCCTCTCACGGCCTTCTCCGCTAGCCACAGAGATCACGGACTCCCGCAGCTCTGAAGCAGGAAGAGCCGGGTGTGCAGGCGTCGGGGAGGCCTCGGGGTGTGGAAACCAAAGAAATTCCTGAGGATCGAACACTGTCAGAAAGGAACCCCCACGGGCCACAGCTGGGACAATTTGAGCATAAAAATAAATAAATAAAGTCCACTTGATCACACCCCACAAGTGGGTGCCCAAGGGCTGACAAGACATGACATGTGGGCCTCATTTGGATCAAACATTTTGGGGACAACCGGAAAATTTGAATATGGAATAAGAAATAGGTGGTTTTAAGAAAGTATGTTTTACTCTGTTGAACGTGAATATGGTATTATCTTACGTAAGAAAATATTTCGTGTTTTAGGGCAACAAGTTCAAGTACTTAGGGTAAATGATTATGATGGCATCTGCAATTTATTT